GCACTATAAATCAATGCAAATTTGTTTAAAAGGGGTTTTCTGTCTTCATAGAAAAGCTGGCAGACCAAGTGATGCAAAATCCACAGGTCCTGGCAGCTCTTCAGGAACGTCTTGACAACACATCAGTTACTCCTTCAAGTTACATTGAAACGTAAGTACTGGGCATGATAAAACACTGAAAGACTGAAGGCATAAAAGAATATTATTACTGTGTCATTAAGATAGAAAATTAGAATAAATTATTCACTTAGAAAAATGGTTTACTTAACCTGTGATTCATAGTATCTTCTGGAAGAAGAGTGAAGTTTTACCTCATGCAAACTTGCAAACAAAATTTTGTCCTGTTCACTATTTACCATGGCCATTTCTTGTTTTGGATAGAAATAAATCCCTCCCCTCCTTTGTTTCCTTCTGTGACCCTTATTCTGACAGGGTATGTGCTACATTGACTCATAATTTCTATAAGATTGCTGTCCTGGATGTAATGGGAAGTTCAGGACCTGTATATCCCTAGTTTGAAGCTTAGTTTTATATTGACTGTAAAGTAGATTTAAATGCTGCCTTTAGTAAATACTTATGCTTTTATTTCTCGACTGAGAATAGCAGGTTGTAGACATCTTTTTAAAAAAAAACCTAAGTTCTCTAAAGAGATCACTTTACATGACTATGTCTAAATGTTTAACAATTTAAAGTGCAGATGGGCAGTGTGTGCCTTGTGAGCATGACCCATGAATCAGAGCTTTCTCCTGTAGAATGCACAGTTCTTATTTTTCATAGATGGATCAACACAAATCTAGTCTCAAAGTTTAGGTGTAAACAAAGGTATTAATTTCAGATCTCTGAACTACACGGGGAGGGTAGTGGCCCCAGGGAATGGAACAGAAGATAACACCTTTGAGAACAACTTGGGTAGGAGAGGATTCTTTCAACTTTTTGAAATAGGGTTTGGAGAAACATATATGTTTGACATAAGCCTTTTATTTAAAAATTGCATGTAGTTATAAGCAACCTCTTTGTCAGTAATATGTGAAATAATGCTGAGGCAACTAACTTTTAACCTTAAATAATTTTGATTTTTAGCTTTCCAAAAGCAGTGATAAGAAGAATTGATGCCTTGAAAAAGCTCCAGGTGAAATGTGCTCATATAGAAGCTAAATTCTATGAAGAAGTACATGACTTAGAGAGAAAATATGCAGCACTCTATCAACCTCTTTTTGATAAGGTAGGAAAATTATGTATATAATTTTTATTTATTTGTTCCTGTCAGTTTTGGTTACATATATATAATTTTACATCTTCAATTACGTTTTTGGGTTATTTTATCACAGAGAAGAGAGTTTATTAATGGAGAAGCTGAACCCACAGATGCAGAGTCAGAATGGCACAGTGAAAATGAGGATGAAGAAAAACTGGCTGTGAGTATAAGCTGGGTCTTCTACTGTGGATATATTGGATTGTCAGAGTTAAATTCTTGTTCTTGCCATTGAAAGGACTTTAGTGTCAGTGATGTGTTCTTGTGATGAATACACTGTTATGGCCAGTGAAAGCTTCTACACCATTAGTTTAGCCTTTTTTAAATTTGTGACTGGAGGAATTGAGGAGTTGCCTTTGGCACTGTTCGTAACCTGTTAACAGCACCTTCCTGCTAATGGGTTCCATTCCAGTGCTACATGAAACCCTAAGATAATAAAGGACTGGTTGGTTCTCTGCCTGTCTCCATTATTTTGGGGGACATCTTTAGCTTTCATTTTCATAAACACAGGTGAGACACTTGTCATACAGTCGTAAAACAGAATCAAGCTCATAAAATGTCTGCTCGGCTGGTGGATTCCTACTTGCCTGTTGAGTAGGAGCTGTCTAGATTTAGGAGGCATAATATAGTCTGTGGGCTGCCTGTTACTTTCCCAGCATCATTTCTGGAGATGTGTGCTCAGGCTTTGTCTCAGAAAAGTGACCTACTTAGAAAACTCTGTTTGCCATTCTGTCAGGTTTTCTTTGCATTTTCCCCTTAGCCTGATTTCTTCTTGTTGTTTTTTTTCTGTATTCAAAGTGAATTGTTCTCTTTGTTTTTACTGATCTCCTGAGATTTAGCATGACACAGTGCTCCATTTGCATGAGCAAAAACCGTTCCTTAGGCTCTGTGTAAATACAGCATTGACAGGCCATATTCCACACAATAAAATCAGAAACTTGTCTACATGGGAAATAAATTGCAGCTATGGATTCTTGGCACGTCATAACCCAAGTAACTGCCAGAGACATCTCAAATATCTGCTGCTATCTAGTGGTGTAAAAGGAAAGGTGCAGCTAATTCAGGCTGAATTCCCAGGGTTGTTTAGGATTGAGAAATTACTTCCTCATTCTTCTTTTTTATAACATTTCACATCAGTTATGTGGAGGGCATCCTGTTTGCCAAAATAGTAATAATTACACACAGCATAATAATGAAAAAACAAACTGTAAAAAACAACTTTACAAGTATTCTGAAAAATGGGCGAGCTAAAACAGCATTTCAGAGGACAAAGTTAAATTTTACATTTTTAGATGAAACGCTGTAGGTGGCTTATGGAGGTACAAAAATGAGATTAATAGTAAAACAGAAATGCATTTATATTTTCTTTCTGTTTCTAGAAAGGCAGTGTTTTAATTATTTCTGTTGTGTCAAATCAGTGAAGCAGACACTTGGTCTATTTTAGTCTTCATGTAGAAGAATTGTAAATGAGTTGAAAGTAAATCTGAATTGTGTATATGTTCAATTGTGTAAATAAACCTTGTATTTCTTAACTTAATTTGCAGAGGAAAGAAAAGTAGATTTCAAGTGTTCCTTAAACACAGCTTCAGAGATGGCAATTGCTTTGTTCTTCTGTCTCTGTTTATTAAATATACAGAGAATTCACAATTTAATTTCTCAGCTGTTTCTGTTTCTTTCCCAGGGAGACCTGAAAAATGCAGTGGTAATAGATGAAAAAGCAGAAGAGACAAATGTCAAAGGAATTCCAGACTTCTGGTTTACTATCTTTAGGAATGTAGATATGCTAAGTGAATTAGTACAAGTAAGTTTTTACTCTGAAATGAACAACTTCTGCTGTGTTAAATGAATTGCGGCTTTTCCTGTTAATAGTCAGTCCTTGTGGAGTGTGAGTCAATCCTGTGGTGTAAGACACCAAATCTTTTGAGTCTTTGAAATCCCTGAAGATGCTTAAGATGATGGACAAGCATTTTTAGTTTAATCCATAAAGGATTACTTTTGCAAGGTTATAAGAATACCTTGGATTGGTTGAATTCATGTTAAATAGCTTAGGTAGTATGCCTGCACTTGTATTAGTGGCTTTTAATGCTGTTAAAGAATTATTCCCTGGAGTGTGTCTGCCTCTGAATCTCACTGGTAATAAATACCCTGGAGGATTTATCTTATCTGTAAGATAAGATAAATGTTACTGTAATACATAAATGTTCAGTAATACAGCCCAGCAGCTTTGTTTATTGAAGGTCAGCCCTAAAATGACTGAGAATTTGGCATATAGAATTTGCAACTATGATTAAGAAATTTATATTCAGATCTTTAACTGAAATAGTTGAGTTTGTTACAAGGTTTGCTTCTTCATTAAGGAGAGACTGTTTTACTGAGTACTGCCTGCTGAATTGGATTTTACTTTTTTCTGCTTAGGAATATGATGAACCTATCTTGAAACATCTGCAGGATATTAAAGTTAAGTTTTCTGAACCAGGACAGCCTATGGTGAGTTTTCTCTGCTTGTTTCTCATGAAGATTGTAGTAATGAAGTGAGCAGCATTCCAAAATACTCATTCAGCTCTCTTTGGCTGGTGTGTGTGGGGGAAGTTTCTTTCTCAGTTATTATTTTCATGCATTGCCTTTGAAATATTTATCTTCAGCTTTCCTGTCTCTTTGCTCTTTCATTCTTAGCCTGGACTAGGACTGATTTCCTAGTAATCAGGAAACTACTATTTATTGTAGTTTCCAGATTAAAATTCTGGCTGAGATCTGTCTAGTTTTTCCTTTCTTTTTCTCTCTCAAATTCAAGTGTAGCTGCTCTTAGTAATACAATTGCATCGCTGCTTTTGATTTGAAATTCAATTGTGGGAAAAATTCTGGGTGTCAAATATTATATCAAAAGTGATATGACTTGGTAATACTAATCAAAGACAATGATTATAGATACTGTGCCTGTTGAAAAGAGTAGAAAATATATTAGATAGTATTTTAAAAGTGTACCTCATGAGTATTTTTTAAAGTACTGCTTCGTGTTTTTTTAATTTTGGAAATTTTTTCTTGTTTACGTTTGATGTACAGAAACAGGTACTGTGTTTGTTGAGAAGAAGTTGCTCTGTTGAAAAGAAGTTGCTCTGCTGCTTATTCACTTTATGCACACTACACTTATTCCTTGAACTCCCTTTGAAGGGGAGGCAGGGAGAAGGATGGAATTTGAGCCTATACATACTTTCTTCAAATTTTGTCATTCTGGCTTTTTTCTTATATTTGGTATTTTTTGTTTTGCCTTATGGAGCCATGGTCTTCTGATAATGCCTGTAAGAAATGCAAGACAGCCATCATTGAAGATTCACATAAGAAAGGTGGAAGGACTTTCTCAGAATAGTTTTTAATGGTTAATAGCAAGTTGGTTTGGAGTTCTTTGGGGTTTTTTTTATTCCTTGTTGTCTTTATTCTACTAGTACTGAAACACTCAAGCTGAGAATTGCCAAGAAAGTAGTATGGCAGAGAAAAACTGAGAATTAAGTTTCTAAAGATTGATAGGGCTTAAGGAGAGGATATGGGTTTTAGGAAGAAAATGAATTGTCTAAGCACAAAGTAAGGTATTCTAAGAAGTTGCCTGTTTTGTCTTGAAGCATATCTAGTCAGTGGCATTTGGATGAGGTGGGAATAGGGTTTTTTTTGCCTACATCATTTTTGTGTTCTCATTCAGCTTTGTTTTATAGTACTTCAAGCTGGAGAGCTCTTTACACACTGGATTTATCTGGTCTCGCACTGTTCGTAACCTTTTGACAGCATTTTTCTGCAAATAGGTTCCATTCCAGTGCTACATTAAATCCAATAATGGAAGGCTGACAAACTCCATGTCCCTTCTGTATTTGGAGACAAAGGATGTGTTCCTAAGTGCTTCAATGAAACCTGTTCTGCAGCTGTGTGTGACTGTCTTTCAACAAAATCTGCTGTTCTTTGCTGAAAATTGGTGCAGCAGTGGTAGCTTTGTACTGTATGAACTTCACATAACCAGTGTCATAGATACACTAATTCTGCTGGGGATTAGGTTTTGCTGATCAAGAAATACATGATAATTAGGAATTTTCTAATTTACTGTTGATCCAAAACAATTAATCATAGTTATGGCACACCAAAAGTGAATTTACATGACTGCAGTTAAAGTGCTTCAAAGTCCTGTTTGTTATGGCCTGCACATAGAAACTTTTATCTGCATGAAGCATAAGTGACTCCATTGCTGTTTACTTTCACTTATTTATAACCATATGGATAAATTTATATGTATTTTATAATTGTAGTTTATATTTACATATTTATTTGGACATCAGGATCCTTAGCTAGCATATTCAGACCTAGATGATGCATCTAGGTATAACTGAAGTAGCTTAAAAAAAGGCAGTTTCTTTTTTTTTAACTTCATGAGCACATATTTGATAAAAAAACCCCAGAGATGTCCACATAAAGAGTATTGGAAAGGTTATTACAACACTTGAAATATTAGGTGGAGCTTGGAGCTTCTTGTCTCCTGATTAGCAGGTATACACTGAGATGCTGAAATGCAGTGTATGCAGATATTTTTGTCTTGCTAGCCCTTGGAATCCTGCATGCTAAATAGTGCCACTGGTTGGTTATTTATAGCCCCAGTGATGGTTTATGGGATTATTTGGGTATGAGTGTTCGTCACTGGTAGTGGATAAGCTAAGTTTGTAACTCTTCCCCTGAGGATGTTTGCCAGAGAGAGATTAGCCTTAGCTGAAGACAGCCTCCAAACCATGCAGCTGTCTTGAAGTGCTTTAAAGGGAAGTAAAGCTGAAATAGCCAGTGTGATATTCCAGTGTACTGCTGGCTCCCAGTGGCTTCCTGTCCTTAAACAGGGAGCACGGGGTTTGGGAAGGCTGCTGTTGCCATTGTTCTCCATCACTCCTTGACCACCCTCTTAGCAGGCATGAGTCATGTGAGGAGATTCGTGGGGTCTTAGGAAGATTAGGGGCCTTTGGGAGATGAGTGAGGGATAAATATCTGCAATGAACAGGCTATTATTAAATAACTGTCCCAAGTTATTTATCTTGTCCATGCATGAATAGCCTTGAGAAAAAGGATGGCAAGGCAGACTTGGTGATAACAGGCAGTCTTGTGGCCTGAATCTGAAGAATGCCTGGGGAAGTACATTCAGGGCCAGTTTTTTGGCAGTTATGTAATCTGTTTTGTATGCAGATTAGGGCTAATTCGTAATGCATATTACTGGGAGAGTAAATCAGATATTTAAGGTAACTGTTACACATGCTGTGGCTGGGCAGTGGTGTTGGGAGCTTTGGCTTTCAGTCCTTCTGTTGTGCTGAACTGATCTGCAGACTTTTTCCCCCTTCAAGCCACTAAATCAATGCTGCCAAAAACCTTTATTCTTTATTGTTTCCCCTTTCCAAGACAGCTTGAGTTTTAGTGTACTTTAAAATGTTCATAGCTGTTCCTGGGTGCAAAGTTGTGCAGGCAGTTTAGAAACCTTTACTGAAAATTGATGCATCATGGATGCTGTGGTTTTCTGTAATGAGTCTTTTGTTCTCCGTGTAAGAAACTGAACCTCTGCAAACAATTTTTGGGTGGCAGAGGAGGTTCAGACATAACCAGAAACACCTGCTTCAGGCTGTTGAAACATGTTGGTTGCAGGACTCAGTTTATGAAATCAGTCTTCCTTTGCAGGATTTTCTGTTATCGAATGGAAAAAAACCTTCTGGTTCCTGGAGGACTGTGCTATTTACATAGACTCTTGCAATCTAAATTGTACTTTAATTGGAAATAAAGTCTGATTCACTCTCTTAAGATCATAATATTGATCAGACTTGGGGGAGCAATAGAACCACATGGTGTTGTTACAATGTTAAAATGACTTCAGAATAACAACTTCACCACTAGAGCAAGGATGATGAGAGTCTTCCATAGGAAATGAAGTCAAGACTTTTCTCAAAATACTTCTAAGGTTGCTTTCAAGACAGCAGTGCTTTATGTGAAGGTGAATGAAATGTACTAATTACCAGTTTATAATTTGAATCTAAGCCAAGGTTGTTGTAGCTTCTTGCACATTTGAAATTCATTGGCATTCATAATTTCCTGCTTCTGCTGTAGTTTCAAATATGTTTGCCATCAAATTATTTTTTTTCCTATTTTCAGAGTTTGATTAATGATAATTATGTTTATGCACTATTTCATACATGAAAGTTAGTGGTAACAAAATTTCTTCCAGTCTTTCTCATTAGAGTTCCACTTTGGGCCCAATGACTACTTTTCTAATTCAGTCCTGACAAAAACATACAAGATGAAGTCGGAGCCAGACAAGACAGATCCCTTTTCATTTGAAGGACCTGAAATAGTTGATTGTGAGGGGTAAGGAAAACTGAAATTCAAAAAAGCTTCTGAAGTAAAAATGCGTATTTTTTTTTGCTTATTGTGATAATAATTAGTAAAGATAAAATTGTTACTGATTTCAGAACTGGGAATGTTTGTAGGGATGCTGACGATGACGTTAGTCTGAGCATGCAAAAGTAACAGATGCATAGATGGAGATATATTTTAACACTGTGTACATTTTAAATGGAACACCATTCGAATTTAATAGTTCTCTAATTGAGGTAACAAACCTTTTAATTCAAGATAACTGGATAAATTATTTTTAGTCATTACTTCTCACAGACTACCCCCCCTCCTCAGTCTGATAAGTAGCCTTGGACTCTCTTGGATTCTTGTCATCTCCTCAGCAATTTTTATTCCAGCAGGAATTGGTTTAGGAATAGGTGATGTTTATCAGGTGTTCTTTGAGCCTGTTTTGAGGCTGGAACATAAAGGTTAAGCAGATTGATCCTGGCAGCTGTGGCTAATGCAGCAATTTTTAAAAATTTTATTTTTATTGTGTTTGCAACACATGTTCAGAAAACAGCTGTGGATCGTGAATTCCCATGTCTGTTCTGGAAGTCTATTGAGTTGAACACCACATTAGAGTTTCTTGGGGGTAAAAGAATCATTCCATCTAAGTGAACCCTTTGTCTTCCTATCCATGGTCTCTGCTCTATAACCAAATTCCAGTACCAGAGCAGAGCTGACACAAATGAAAAGTGACTTGTTTACCCTATTTTGCTTAGTGTCTAAGTATTTTTTCTGTTGGTCATTATTTGGTTTTTAGGGTTTTTTTCCTACCCCTTCAAGGATGCATTTTGGTGGTTTGGTTTTGGGGGTTTTTTAACTCACATTTAAGATACGCCAAATACTTGATTTTGTGAAGGCATGCTGACAACCTCAAAGCCTCTTGACTTTTAGTTCTACATGTTGTTGAATCCAGCATTCACCTGCAGTGAGGCAAAATGTCTTCTTGGATATTGAGTGAAAGTTGTGCCTAAGTGACAGACTACTCCTTTTTGAAGAAAACTTTAGTTCATTACAGCAAAATATTTTTTGTTTAAGTATTATAAAGGAATGCTTTCGTGGATTGCAGATTTGTCAAAACTTGGATTTCAGTTGATGTTTCCTGAGGAAGGCGTTTGATATGGTACAAGTAGAGCAGGAAGATGTGTCTGTGCCTTGTTATACAGCTTAAGTATAAAACTGGTGACTTTGGTCATCTGTCTATAGGACAAGGTATTTTTGAGGCATTTAAGGGTTACTGTGACACCATTACTTCCATTATAGGAGAATTAGCTGTGTTTGCCCCTCACTATTTGCCATGTGCAGCTTTGGGTAAAACCTGTTTGAATGGAAAGAAGCTTTTCATTGAGTGTTATTTTGTACAGCAGCAGAATGGAACTGGAAATTAGTCTCTTTTCAGCTTGATGTGCTTGGCTGCCAGGTCAGTCTGAGCACTGTTCTTTGGACAGCTCAAGCATCGCTCTCCCTGGCCACTCTTTGGACATGCATTTTTAGGGTATATGGACTCTGCCTTGACCTGTAGTTAAAGGATATAATGTATTGTTTTCTAACAGTCTGACTGCTGAGTTTTTTTCTGGAATAGCTTAATCCTGTCCTTGGTTACAGAAGTCCAGTTGTTGGGCTAGAGGTATTGAATTACAGTGGAGTGAGGGCAGTGATTACTCTGCCAAGACAAACTTGTATAGCTTTTTCATTTAGGAAAATATTTGACCTGTCCAACATAAACATCATCTCTAGAACTATGATCCACTTCATATCTTGTCAAGCAGCTTTAGAGAGTGATAAGCCATCTTGGCCTTGATGTTGCTGCTCTGCTGCTCAGTTCCTTCTTTTCCCTGGTGCCTTGTGTTAAAATGCTGTTTCTCACCTGCTGTCTCTAGGTGTACCATTGACTGGAAGAAAGGAAAAAATGTTACAGTTAAAACAATCAAGAAGAAACAGAAACACAAGGGCCGAGGCACAGTTCGGACAATTACTAAACAAGTACCTAATGATTCATTTTTTAACTTCTTCAGCCCAATAAAGGGTAAGCTTGGAAATTGAAGAATTTAGGATCCTTAAAATATGTTTATATATATTTGTATTTATGTGACTTAAACATTCAAACTGTTTTTGCTGCTGCATTGTAAAGTGCTTATTAGAGGAAGATTGCAAAGTCTTACCCATCCAAACAGATGATTTTGTTCTGTTGTTATTCTGTAGAAATTGACCAGTGCAAACAGGATTCATAGTATGGAAAGAGTCTCTTGTAGACTCTCTTAAAGAAATTGACATGTTTTACCACAGGATGGCTCCATGCATCAGTTTGTTTCTAACATGGAAAAGAACTGTGTTTCATTGTTGGTCAAGTTACAGCATAGTGGTTTCATTGAAGCCCCTCTGTCAAGTGATAGAACTCTGTCATTTCTTCTGGGATTAATTAGTGATCCCTGATACTCCATACATAATTTTCTCATTTTCCTAGTCTAAT